AATAGTCATCAACTCTTTTTTTCTCTTTTTCTTTTTCTCGTTCTCTCTCTTTTTTGTTGTTTCGCCGAGTCTTTAGTTCCTCGTTGCCCCTTCTCCTCGCGGGCAGTTAATATGTTTTTCTTTTCCTTTTTTCTTTTTTGCAGCTTTGTGTGTGTCCGTCCCGCGGCGCATGCGCCACGGCGGCCACTTCCCTCTTCCCGCCCCGCGGGCTACTCGCCTGGCGCGAGGAACGGCGTGTCGGTGCACCGCGGCGGTCGCGGCCGCGGTTTTGTGACGCGCACCGTTTCGACCTCCGCCTCCCCGTCGTCCGTCGACGCCGGCCGCGGCTCGTGCCCCGGCGCGCGCACCATCACGCGCTGCAGCAGCGGGGAGCGCAGCGTGGGGAGGAGCAGGGCGGCGTCCTCGCCCCCCTCCCCGCCGCCGTCGCGCGCCCGCTTGCGGGCGGAGCTGGCGCTGCCGAGAATCTCCGCCGCGGAGGCGCCGTTCTTCGCCCGCAGCAGCTCCGTCTTCAGCGCGTGGCGCTTGGCGTACATGCCGGTGTGACGCCCGCCACGCGGCCCCGAGGCGCCGTTCGTCCCCGCCGCCGCCGTTTCCCCCTCCTCGCTATCGGAGGAGCCCGAGGCGACGGCGCTCTTGATGCGCGAGAGCACGTCGGCAAACCCCACCGACTGCGTGCTCCACGCCTCCTGCACGCCGCCCTCGTAGCCGACCCCCATCACGCCATCCTTCCGCCGCGTCTTGATGTGGCTCGTCACGCCCTCCTGGTTCCGTCCCAGTCCGCTGCCCTCCGTCCAGCCCGAGCGCTTCAGCATCGACTTGCCGATGTTGTTCGCGGACCTCGACCAACGGGTCCCATTCGGATCATCGCACATGTCTTCTTACTTGCGCCTTCCCCTTCGTGCTTGTCTAGCCGTTAATATTTACTCGACACCTCTCGTGCCTGCCGCTACCTCGCGTGGTTTTTTCCTCCTCCCGCTCGGTTCCCTTCACACACGCACAGGCACAGTTTCCTGCATCGTGCCGTCAATCATCCCGAATACACAGAGAGAGAGAGAGAGAGATTGAGAATGAAAGAAATGGGAGAAAGAATAAAAAAAAGAAAAGAGAAGCATACATACATGTGTGGAGCTGCAAAACAAGCCAACAACCCAACGACGCCCCTTTTACATAGTTATCCACTCAGGCATGTGCACATGCCACACATTACCGCTACGCACAGACACGCACACACACACGAGGAGTATGGGAGCGAGCGGAAGCTTCAAGAGAGTGTGTGGGTGTGCGTTGTTGGCAGCTCTCGAATAGGCCCGCGTTGGCATGCGGTCAACGCCTCGTCCGCCAGGACGCCTTCATACGTGACAGCCGCGGCCGCTTCATCGCCATCTACCGCAAGGGACGCGGGAAACAAATGGGCCGGCTCCGGCGGCAGTATCTTCAGCTCCTGCAGGGCGTCCTTGATGGCCTCCGGTGCCCGAAGCAGGAACCCCGGTATCATCTCTCGCAGCAGCTGGTAGAGGGTGCGGGCGCGGTAAAAGTCACGGGCCACGCGGCAGGCCCTAAAAAGGTAGATGAGGGTGTCGTAGTCAATGTGGCTGCCGCTATACAAGACGCACAGGTCGACGATGTTGAAAACACGACAGTCGCCGCGGCGGCTAAGGGCATCCAAGAGCGGATTGACCGCGTCCTTGGTGATGACCAGGCCGTGGTACTTGTGGGTCACCAGGATGGTGTAGGCCTGGTTGAGGCGCTCCTCCAGCTGGGAGCGGGCAAAGGCGGTCAGCACAAGCCGGTGGGCCTCCTGAAACTGCTGCCGCTCCAACGCCTTCCTTTCTTCCTCCTCTTCTGCCTCTCCCGCCGCCTCCCCGCTCACTTGCTGCGTCGCGTCGGTGGCGGCAGCTGTGTCACCGTCAACGCCCTCGCGCGGGCGCAGCTCCACAATGGCGCGCAGCGACTGCAGCAGATCGTCGTAGATGGCGCCTGAGCTGGACGCGTCGTCGAGGAAGAGGCCCAGCAGCTGCACCTTGGCCACGATCAGCTCGTACTCTATAGAAAGCGTCATGGGGGCGCGATCGACGATATCAACGGCGTCGCCTAAGAAAACGTCGGGGGACGCGGCCTCCACGCGCATGGCTCGGAGCAACGCGAGGGACAACAGCAACCGAAGCGCCGCCTCGTCCGCCGCGTCCACCGCGAGCGGGTTGCCGCTGTTTGCATTCCGCTGCAGCGTGACATCCACCGCCTCGCTCACGTCCTGCAGCTGCCGCAGACACGAAAAGTTTTCGTGCTTCTCATAGTGCCGCCGAACCGCCCTCGCCGCGAGGCGCACCAGCGGCAGCTGGACCATCTCCTCGCCAAACTCCGCGTGCCGCTCGGCGAGGAAAAGCAGCACTATTCGCGCCCCCAGCGCGTTGTCCGGCAGCAGCTTCGTCAGCCCCTTCGCGAAGTGCTCCGCGAGCCGCGGCTGCTCCCCCGGCTGCCGCGTGGAGAACTGAAGCAGCAGTCGGAAAAAACGCACGAGCGCCCTCGCCAGTGGGCTCGACTCCGTCAGGAGCATCGTCGCGCTGATCGGCTGCAGCGCGGACACAACAGCAGCCGCCACCTCCTGTAAATACGCGGCGGTCGGCTCATTTGCGCCGCCTTCCGCCGCGTCACAGGCGCCACAAAACGCCTCAATTAAAACGCTGAGTGCCCCACCGTCACTGCACGGCACCCGCGCGCTTAGCGGCACAACGCCGCCCGTCATCAACAACGTCTCGCGCGTGGGACGCAGCAGCGGCGGCATGTCCGCCATCTCCGTCTCCGACCCCAGCGCAGGCGCCTCTTCCGGGCCTCCAGCGTGCGGAACGGGGCCGACCCCGCGCCGGCTGCAGGGCCCTTCCGGCACGCCAGGGTAGGCGAGCACGGCGTTCGCCTCAATGTCGCTGTACGGCGCCAGGTCACGAATGAGCCCCGGCCACACGGCTTTCAACGACGGACGGCATCCGCAGCGCAGCAGCCGAAACACAACGGCCAACGCCGTGTCCGTCTCCTTCAGGGCCCGGGCACAGTGGGCGGTGGACAACACCTGCTCCCAGAGACCGTCGTCGTGTGCCGCGGCCGCAGTGCCGCGCGACGCTATATGCTCCTCGACGCGCTGCGCCAACGCCGCCAAGCGGCCGCTGAGGCTGCAGCCGCCGGCCGAGGCACAGCGCGCCATCGAGGAAAAACGCATCGTGTGCTACCGGCCGGGCAAAGCGATGGGGCCGACGGGGCACACGGGCAAAAGCTTCAGCCGCAGTCAAGGCGGAGGAGAAGAAGGAGGAAGAGATGCAGACGACCAACAAGCGCGCAGAGAACCCCTAAAGACAAATATAAAAAAAAAAGTGCAGATAACAAACGGCAGCTTTCACAACACCTTTTTGACCGCGGCAGAGGCACAGGTGCGCGCGCACGCTTGCTTGTGCGCCGGAGCCACCGCGGTGATCCACCCCACCACGGATCTTCGCACAACTCCGGCGCAGCACTCAAATGCAGTTCGTGAACACGACCGGGGAAGTCCCAACAAGTGACCGCCACCCTGACGCCGGCGCCTCCCTCCGTTTCTCATCTTCCTTTTTCGTTATTATCGCTTCGTTCATGTGTTCCGCTCCCCACCACGGCGGAAGGCGGCCCTCAGACCCTGCGACAGGAAGAGCGCACGGGGCACGGAAGGGGAAGGGCGAGGGGACTGCGCCCTCACTCCCGTCGGACGCATTTGGGGCAGAAGCACTCAAAGTGCCGTTGCTGGCACAGCGCACGCCTGTCCGCGTACGACGCACGCGTTGTGAGGCTGGCGTTGTAATTAATAAACAGCTGCTCACCCTCCCGCAGCTCCCGCAGCGTCACGAGACGGCGATTGGCCGCGTCTGATCCAACCAGGGCGCAGTTGGGCTCGCAGCTGTGGTTGAGAAGGGAGTAGCCGTGGTAGAGGGCGGTGCCACTTGGAAGCAGGAACTCATTCGTCTGCACAATCGCAAACAGCGAGAGCACCTCCTCCATGTAAAGGTGCGTCTGGTGCAGCGCCGTCGCCAGCGTGACGGCCAGCGCTCCCACCTCAGCGAGGGCCGTGGCCGCGTCGTAGTCCGCACGCCCACGCAACGAGCGAATTCGCGGCAACGCGAGTGGATGCGTCTGCCGCACCGTCGACAGGGCGCAGAGTTTGGCGACCGCAAGGCAGGCGAGGGCCGCACGCGACTCCTCCGTGTCATCCGACAGCAACCGTCCATGCATCGCGTCCTCCCAGGCGGCGTACATTTCGTTGCGGGATCTACAGGCGCAGACGTGGTACTCGCGCCACGCCGCGTCTCGGCAGGCCACGCTGCAGTACGTCTCCCGACTGCAGTGCGCGCACGGCACACCACCTGCGGCGCCCCCGCCCCTCCCAACTGGGGCCAGGCAGTGCGCGCAGGCGTCGCCCCGCATCCGCTGCACGAGAAACGGCTGGTCCACCATCACCGGCGTGCCAGAGGCGACGCGCGTCAGAGCGTAAATCCCGCGGCCGTAGACGCTTTGCTTTGGCTGCTGCAACTCCACAAGGGGGAGCGGTCCCGCCCGCTGCGCCATGATGCGCACGGCGCCCTGCGTTTCCGCGAAAGGCTCCGTCTCCTGAACGGCTAGTTGCTCCTCCACCGCCCCCACTGCCTCTGGCACCCCCCGTGCCTTCTGCAGCAACGCATGCAGCTTCTCCCGCTCCGCCCCCGCGGGCACAAGCTGCAGCGCATCCGCGACGCTCCTCTGCGCGCACAGACGCCGCTGCGCCTCGCGGCACTTCGCCAGAAACACGTCCTGCTGCGTAAACTTTGCGGCAACCTCGCCCAAAAGAAGCCCTGCAGGGTCACTCGGGCAACGATTCAAGATGCGAATTACATAATCCGCCGCGATGGCGTAATTGCCACTCGCAGTGAAGTGCCACGCCCGTTGGCGCAAAAAAGCGTCCAGCTCACGCGAAGACGCCCGCGCCACCCACGCCGTCCGAATCCGCCCCATACACCACAACAACAACTGAAACGGAAGAGCCACCAAAGAAGCAAATAAGCCCCTAAAACATCCTACGCTAGAGGAAAGCCAATGGAGCAAGAAAAAAGAAAGAAATAGAAAAAAAAGGAGAGACAGCTGGGCGCCACACGCCCACGGAACTCCGCCTGACACAAAAGCGGAGAGCATGTTGGCACGCGCCCTCCTCCCCTCCCAACACCGTCAAGGAAATTCTTCACGGCACGCTGGGGCGCCCCCGCGGGGTCTTGCGCGGCGCGCGGCAAAAGTGGGCAGCGAGGGATGAAACCACGTCCCTGCGCCGCCGCTCCGCCGCCACGCCTCTGGCCGCCGAGGGCCATCCCACGGACGGGGGGAATGCACTTCCTCGACACCGGTCCTCCCCAAGCAAACGTACCTCGCAAAACTTAATCGAGCGTCCTCCGCC